CCCCCCCCCCCCACACACACACACACACAAAGTTATGGGGAACCATTAAAGTCATATCTTATCTTAAATGCAATGATAGATGAATAAAAATTTCAAAGCAGTTGTTCAAAGAGCTATCTGAAACAAAATTAACTATTTGTTTACACCTTTTCTACAGAGCTGCTTCAAAAGATCTAAACCAGGGCTTCTTAAATGACGGCTCGCGGGCCACTTTCGACTTCAGTCTGGCCCACCTATGAGTTCATTAAAAAAAAAAAAATTATGGGGTTCTGGGTTTAGGTTTTGTGTTGTTTTGTGTTTATTGCATTTATGATTCAATGCAATAAAACAAACAAATCTAAAAGGTAACAGATCATTGTAAACTTTGGTTTATTTAAATACTGACTTTAATCGCTGGATCTCCGGCCCTTGAGCTGCTGGCTTTCAGAAGTTGTGGCCCCCTGAGCAGTTTTGTTGAATAGCCCTGCTCTAGGCCTTTTTAAAACATCAAGTTCTGTCACTTAATTGGGTAAACTATTCAAAGATTTTTATGAAGTTTACTTATTACTTTTTATTACCTCTGCCACGGGGGTAATGTTTTCAGTAGTGTTGGTTTGTCTGTCTATGCACAAGATTACTCAAAAAGTTATGAATGGATTTTCATTACATTTTCAGTCATTTCTTTTCAGTAAAGTTCAGTCATAAACACAAAAATTAGTATTTGTTTTGTTTTATTTTATTGGGGGTTCAGCTTTGTCAGGAAAGTTAAGTGACAAGGCTAACAGACTTAAATTTTAAAACTCTTGTTAACAACTTAAAACATTTGGTATGAGGGGTATGAATCGGTTTAGGCAAATTCATACCCCTCATGCCAGATTATGGGTACCGTATATAGATGACCATCCCCGGGATATACTATGGCCTGGCCAAATTAGACCCGTGTTTAATCTGGGCAGGGGTTCATTTTAATGGCTTGTTTGCACCTTGCACATTGCTCAGGACATCCTTGTAAAAGAGATGAATAATCTCAGTGGATTTCTTTCATGATAAAATAAAGTTTTAAATAAATTTGGCATGTTATCCCAGTACCACGTGGAAAAGAGATCTGATTTTTTTATTTGTTCAACACCAGTGCATTGCTTGCTGCTGTAGGCCTATGTGTACCTAAACTTTGCTCTGTGTTCTGGACAGTGAACCCATGTGGCCCATCGAGGCCAGGAATGCAGCAATAGCGAACCACTGTTTTACCTGTGCCATCAACCGTGTTGGGACGGTAAGTCCCCAGCAGTCATACTGACGTGTTGTTGGGTTATGATAAAACATCGAATTCATGTAAAACCAATGTGTTTTCAACAGGAACAGTTCAAAAGTGAATTCACATCAGGTGATGGAAAAAAAGGTAAGGAATTCAGTTTTATTTTCCAGTTTGTCATGATGCTGCAGTTAAAGCAGAATGATGAATAAAAAATGTATCACTATTTTTACTCCTATGGGTTTTCTTCTCATACAATCAGTCTAACTAAAAAAAATGGTTTATTCCTCCACACAGTGTCTCTCACAGGACACAGTTTTCTCTCATATCCCCCAAAGCCCGCTACCAATATACCTACTGTCCCTCCTCTGGACATGTCCAAACCACTGTCCCTCCTCTGGACATGTACAAACCATCTCAGTCTGGTCTCTCTAACTTTATCTCCCAGTTGTTCAACCTGTGCTGTACCTCTGATGATCTCATTCCTAATCTTATCCATCCTTGTCACTCCTAAGGAGAACCTCAACATCTTCATTTCTGCTACTTCCAGTTCTGTCTCCTGTGTTTTTTGTCCATGTCTCTGTCTTCAGACCATACAACATAGCTGGTCTCACCACTGTCTTGTAAACTATTTATTTGACCTTTGTTGACACCCTTTTGTCACAAATGGTTAATGGTAAATGGACTGTACTTATATAGCACCTTTCTATCTTATTTCAAGATACTCAAAGCGCTTTACACTACAATCTGTGTCTCATTTACCCATTCATACAGCTCTACATACTAGATCTCTACAAAGCTAATTGAACAAATCATTCTAAAGAGACTAATCAGTGCTTTAGATCACATTCATACACTGATGGGACACACATCAGAGGCTATGAGGGGTTCAGTGTCTTTCCCAGGGACACTTCGATATGTGACTGCTGGTGGATTTGAACCCCCAACTCTCGCATTGGAGGACGACTGCTCTAACCCCTCAGCCACAGCCACCCCTAACAAATCACTCCTGAAACTTTTCTCCATCCACTCCATCCTGCCTGTACTCTCTTTTCCACCTCTTTACCACACTCACCATTTTCCTGGATCGTTTACTCCAAGTCCTTGAAGTCCTGCACCTTTGTGACCTCTGCTCCTTGTAGCCTCACTGTTCCACCTCCTCCCTCTCATTCACACACATGTACTCTGTCTTACTATGACTGACTTTCATTCCTCTTCTTTCAAGTGCATACCTCCACCTCTCTATGTTCTCTTCCACCTGTTCCTTGTTCTCACCACAGATCACAATGTCATCTGGAAACATCATAGTCCATGGGGATTCTTGCCTGACCTCATCTATTAGTAGGTCCATCACCAGAGCAAACAAGAAGCGGCTCAGAGCCGATCCTTGATGCACTCCTACCTCTATCTTGAAACTATCTGTCACTCCTACAGCACATCTCACCACTGTCCTGCTGTCCTCATACCTGTCCTGTACCAGTCTAACATACTTCTCTGTAACTCCAGATTTCCTCATGCAATACCACACCTCCTCCCTCAGCACCCTGTCATATGCTTTTTCTAAATCCACAAAGACACAATGGAGTTCTTTCTGACCCTCTGTACTTCTCCATCAGCATTCTCAAAGCAAATATGGCGTCTGTGGTGCTCTTTCTCTGCATGAAACCATACTGCTGCTCACAGATAGTCACCTCTCATTTAAGTCTAGTTTCTACAACTCTCTCCCAGATCTTCATTGTGTGACTCATCAGCTTAATTCCCCTGTAGTTGCTACAACTCTGTACATCACCCTTGTTCTTAAAAATGGGCACCGACACACTACTCCTCCATTGCTCAGACATTTTCTTACCCTCAAATATGCCATTGAATATTTGAGTCATAAACCTCACTGCCATGTCTCCAAGACATTTCCAAACCTCCATGTCATCAGGTCCTCGTGGTCTTCGACTAACAGTAGCACAATTTTCGCCGGCACCCTGTTTGTCAACAGCACAGGTGGTGGTCGTTGTTAACCTGGGCCTCAACGGATCCAGTATGGTTTCGCTTTGATGAACTCGCATTATAGTTTTGGCAAAAGTGTTTTACATCGGATGCTGTTCCTAACACAACACTCAACATTTACCCAGGCTTGAGACCAGCACAAGAGATACACTGGTTTGTGCTCCCTAGTGGCTGGTTTGACTTTCACTTCATCTGAGCAGAAAATTATTCTTCCAAACCAGAAGTGACAAGCCATTTTACCTCATCACATCTCCTTAAAAGAAGCAAACATTGACGTTAGACTAGACTCTTGGGCCGCTTTTTGTTAAATAATATTTTTAATCTAATGAAGTTTTCTCCTCCCACAGACCAAAAACATGCATGTTAGGCTGATTGGTAACTCTAAATTGTCCCTAGGTGTGAGTGAGAGAGTGAATGGTTGTTTGTCTCGTTTGTCTCTATGTGGCCCTGTGATGGATGGCTGTGGCTGAGTGGTTAGAGCAGTCGTCCTCCAATGCAAGAGTTGGGGGTTCACATCCACCAGCAGTCACATGCTGAAGTGTCCCTGGTCAAGACACTGAACCCCTCATAGCCTCTGATGTGTGTCCCATCAGTGTATGAATGTGATCTAAAGCACTGATTAGTCTCTTTGGAATGATTTGTTCAATTATCTTTGTATAGATCTAGTAGAGTGTTGTATGAATGAGTAAATGAGGACACAGATTATAGTGTAAAGCGCTTTGAGTATCTTGAAATAAGATAGAAAGGCGCTATACAAGTACAGTCCATTTACCATTTATGGACTGGAGACATGTCCAGGGTGTACCCCTCCCCTCGCACAGTGATTGCTGGACATGGGCACTGGCGACCCCCCTGACCCAAAATGGAAGAAGCGGGTAAAAGATAATGGATGGATGAAGTTTTTACACGGTGAATGTCTAGGTTTATTTTTTGCTCTGCTATTCTGTTTGCTTGTCTTTACTGAAATCGCATTCATGGAGAGACACAGATGTTGCTACCATGGTGACCATAATGAGCCACTAGCAGCAACTTCAACATTTATTTCAGTCTCCTTTTACAGTTTATAAAAATGTAGACAATGTGACAACTTAAATTAATACAAATGTAAGTCCTGAACCTCTGTTGGGTTTTAATGAAGAAATTGTTTTTATGTTGGATTTATGGCTTGTAGCTGCGTTGAAACTCTTCAAAATATCTTCTGATCCTTCAAGTCATAGTTTGTACAAATACACCAGATTCCTGTTTCTTGCAGCTCACCATGACTTTGGCCACTTCTATGGGTCCAGTTACGTGGCTGCTCCTGATGGCAGTCGAACCCCCGGCTTGTCCAGGACACGTGACGGACTGCTGGTGGTCGAAATGGATCTGAACCTGAACAGACAAGTCAGTGACAAATGGACTTTTAAGGTAAACTATGTGAATCATCACCAGGCTTTGTGTACAATTGTTCTGTGACTGCATGGCTGTTTGGTCGATGAAAGGACACAATTTATTCTGTAACTGTTCTGCTGTTTGCAGATGACTGGGCGATATTCAGAGTACGCAGAAGAACTTACAAACGCTGTCAAACACGACTTCAAACCCAAACTAGTAAAGGAGTGAACAGATACACACAGTGTGTTGTACATTTACTGTGGCCCATGTAAGAAAAAAAAAAATCACATAGCCTATTAACATTTATTTATACTACAGACTTTAAAAAATAAATTCAAAGTTGAAAGCTTTATTTCTGTTTATTCATTTTTTGTACAAGGACAGCTAAAATAAGCTGAATTTCTGAGTTTCTCAGTTTGTAAATCATAAGATTATCCGCCATGACTCCAGTCACCGTGAAAACAAATATGATGGTTTCAGTGGGATGCAACGTGTTCACCAGGTTAATAATATGTTTTTGCTTTACAACCTGGAATTTAAATGTACTTTCTATGTAATTAGTAATGGGCATATGAAACAGCAGTGCCTTTCAAACCAAACGTATAAACTGAGATCAGATTATGACGACAATTTTATTTTGCCAACAGGCAAATGAACACAAACATGGATGACAATACCACTGTCTTTTCACCTTCGATGGTGGAATAAAAAGGGTGGGGGGACCTGAAAAACTTCACAAACAAGTGTCCTGACGCATGCTCAATAATCCAGGTAGAAAACTCAAGCAAGGTTAAGTCAGGTCGTGTCCAGAGGACCTTACTGGATTTACAAACAAGCATCAAGCCGATGTCTCGTCACAGAAGGACTTGAAAAGTGAATGTTTGTAGTTTTTGAGATGAGTGTTTTTCTGTACTGGACTTAAACAGGGAATACAAGTAAACCTTAATGTTTACTGGGGGAAGAATCAGTTTTGTTGTGCGTTTCCTTGACTGATGAAGCCTTCTGGATCGAAGGCGAAATGTTTCAGCACAAAAAAAAGAAACTGTCCAGATGACCCGACTGAAAAATGTTGGATTATATAATATATAAATAATATATATATATTATTTATATATTATATAAT